GCTATGCGACTGGCTGCAAGGGTTCTAGACGGAACTCTAAGACAAAACGGGGCGAACATGTTCCATAAACACATAATTGAACGCACTGATATCATTATTATACGTTGTTTAGCAAACCTTTTTGATTCGTGAAAAATATTAATTCAGTTAGGTAGAGATCAATTTGCACTTACTTGTCTCGTCCAGGCTTCAGACTGACAGTGAAGACTGCATATACCGGCCGATGATCGGAACATCGAACATGAGATATAGAGTCATAGGCGAGGCATTTGACATCCTCTTTCTTTTTCGATCGGTAAAGAATGCGATCCTTAAAAGCATAAATCAAAAATCTTTTCAAAATAGAACCAATCATAGCGGGAATCTGCGATATTTCCGAAGTATTGTTAAAAATATAATGCAAATTCCGAAGACAGCGCCTTCTCTTTCATTAAGCTTTCTGGTGCCATTTATAATTGTAGTTATCAATACGGGGGCGCGCCAGCCAACTCTGATGTAAGGCGCCTCGAATGTGCAGCCGCAAGAAATGAAAGCAGTCAACCCTCCTTCGGAATTTGGAGGGAGAGAAGTCAAGCGAAAAAACAGTTGTTGGCAATGTATTTACTGCGTTTGACCTACCACACACTACCCTGGTAATTTAGGGTAGTATATGTATTGCAGGGATTACCAGGTGTCCTTGCCAATCGAAATTTGCCGTCGCTTTAGGAGTCGACTATCTTCAGAGGGTTGGGGAATTCTGTCATCGGTTTCCTCTCGCCTACTTGGAAAGAATAGATACCAAGTGAAGATGTTGACGCTTGCCCGTTATCATAATTTTACCGAGAGGGTGTGCTGTAAGGTGGATCTGACTGTTAAGGCTACTCAGATCAACTGCCTAACCATGTGAGTAGCGACGGACAGAAGTGCGGGCGGAAAGGAAGTTGAAAAAAAAGCTGGACGTTCGTTTCCTAAGGGGTTTGATCCGGGACGACTGTCTTCGTAAGAAACTTTAATTTGAAACATTTCTGGAAAACCGTTTATTAGATTTACTTATATAGGCGCAGACAGAGAAATATGCCTAGTGAATCAATCTGATCGTTCATCCATCTGCTTGTTTCCCAGTACAAATAATCCAATTCAGAGTTTCTGCCTTTTAGAGACCAGGAATGTGCGAATTAAAATGCACTAACACGAAAGTCAGGTGTCTGACCGGTCGATATTCATTCGAGGAGGACGAAGTCTAAATCCCAAAACACAGCAAACCACTTAAGGGCCACATTTAAAGTCGGCGGCGGAGGAAAACCCTCGTAACAGGTCGTCCACCAAGTTCGACCGTCGCTTTCCTCGAGGTCCACCGTGTGCTCCACAGAATGGTGGTGCAGGGACGGTGACTGGCGCGTGGATTAGCTTTAGGTG